TGCTCAGAATAACTGCAAAAGGACATTATGGTGGTGTGTGAATACAGTAGAATAAAACCTCTGCATAATGCAACTAAATCTGACATAAAACCACTGTTTTCACTTTTTTTTTTTTTAAGTTTGAAGACCATTTATATAGATAGTTGTCATTTTTTTTATATGATCTCACTCTCTCAAGGCAAATTTCATAACACTTACAGTAGCTGTTTTTAGTGTTGAACACTTTTTTTCCTGATCCTTGTCAACAGTAACTTGTCTCTCCTCCTGTAGCATCCCATGTGATGTTTTATGTGGGTTTGTTTGTTTTTGTTTTTTTTTAAAGAAAATATTTTGAGCCATTTTTGTCCACGGCACTGATACCTTTTAATAACATTTTGCAATTAATTAAACCTTCAATTCAAACATGTATGTAATATATAGGTAATTATGCATAGAAAAATATGAATTATCTTTGCTATCTGAAAATTGTGTTTCATGGTAAGTCTCTCTTGCTGTTCATAATTATCATGTCTTTTGCCTTCAGCACGTGACCTTTTGGGGCTTTATTTTTAATTGTTTTTATGTATTTGTCGTGAAACGAGTGTTTTAAGGTCACTCAAAAAAATCACAGTAAAGGTGAATTTTTTTTTACCTAATTTCTTTTTATATCAATACAGTCTTACTAAACCTGTCCAGAATCTACTGGGAAATTCTTCTGTGGTTAATGATGAGACTTGTTTTGTCAGTAAAATCCTTATACCTACGTAAACCATTTTGAACTGGCTGCAGATTCAGAGCAGAGAGTAATCTGTTAAAAAGCTCAGTTCCAAGACAAGAAGAGCTTTTCACTGCCCAGCTCTCTTCTCCCCCCCCCCCATTTCATTTATTTGTTGAAAGCTCTGTGGAACACCAGCAGGTGGGGCTGAAACGCTGCCGAGTGTGAAGCACTCCAAGTGAAAAATAAACAGAGGTGGGAAAGTTCAGTCTCTCCGTTTGAGCACCATGTGGTTTGGTTATTTTTTTTAGAAGGGGATCCACTGGCGCAGGAAGAGACAAGAGACAAAGAAGAGGCAGCAGCAGCTGCAAACTTTGTTGATTTGCAGCGGTTCATGCCAGTGGGTGGTGTGTTCCACATCGATGCCCTGCAGCTCCCGCCTCAGGTCATGGAAGTCAATGACTGGACCATGGTGGAGGTGAGTGAGGGAGGGGATTACACCCTTTGCAGGCCTCTTCCCTGTCATCCCTGGAAAGCTGCTCCTCAGGTGTGTCCCCACTCTACACGTCCGCGATTTTTCCCACAGAAAATTAAAGGACCAAGTTTATCAAATAATTTTCCAGTTACACTTGGCCAACTTTTGGAGCAGCTGAGGGCACCTGTGTGGTCACTGTGTGCTCAGTCAGTGGCTCATCTGCATGGTCAGCACAGATCCACGTGCAGGAAAACGCCCTTGGCCACAGTAAAAGCAAACAGAAGTCTGTAGTTTTTCCTATGTGAAAGCAGGCTGGTAACAAAGTCACTACATTTTCACTGCCAGGCTCTGCAAGATAGTTGGGAGTTGTAGTAACTGTGCTCTAGTTTCCCACTGCTGGAGCCTGGTGCAGTGCTACTAACATCAGAGATTTGTCTGTGAAGCTGAAAACCTTTAATAAGCAAAATTCCCACTCAAACTAAGGAAGCAGGACGGGGTAGATCAAGAGTCCGGGCTCCTCATTCCCAGCCACACACACATGGGACCTCTCCTTCCCTTGGGCACCGTGTGGACAGAGCAGAATCAGACCTGCTTTTGTCTCTCAGGCGCTCTTGGGTTTTTTACACTGTGGATCTGTTAAAAAAGGACTGTGCCCACTGTGTGGCACTGCCTTAAGGGACTTAAGGGAAAAAAAAACCCTAGGCTGCTGCATTTTCTAATAAAAATGTTATGTGTCCTTTTCCCATCTTGCCAAAGTTAGTTGATGTTGGATTGGAGGTGTATCCATATTCCCCAGAAGAGGCTGAAGATGCCACAGAATCAATAATACAGATAACCCTCGGGCTGCCTGACAGTGTGGTGTATTTTGACAGTCCTGTGGTAGCCCGATGGGATCCTGAAGGTAGGAACTTAGAGCATAGATTTGTTTTAAGTTTGAATAATGAAATTTATACCTGAGTTTTACTATTGTCAATTCAGAGCCCAGAAATAGCTTGGGGACTTTGGTGTTAATTGATTTGGGGACTTCAATGTTAATTTATTTGTTTTGAGTTGTTTTTTTATTCTGTTTTGCTTCTGCACCATATCTAAGGATGGATTGCTTTGTTGAGGCTTTTTACTGTAGCTTTTTAATATAAATGGAAAAAAAATACACAGCATTTAATGGGCAGCAGTACAAGTTTTGCTGAGGTAAAGTCCACATTGAGCCAAACTAGCTCCTAACTACATATGTTAATATTGTTACAATATGAAATTTATATGTTAAAAACCAACTGTGATATTCTAGTTATTCAATAGATACAATGTACCTTTGCTTTGCACTGATGAAAGAGAGTAGAACCTATTAAAGCATTTAGATGTTTAAAGTTACTCTTAAAAATGATCTTTTGGGCTGCTGTTTAAAAGGTAAGAAATGACAGTTAGTGTTATATTTTCTTTTCTTTTGAAACTGAGAAGCTTTCCTGTCAAAATTAGCCCAATCTTGTACTTAAAGACAATTAAAATAAGGGGAGTTTTTGCCTTAAATTAATTATCTTTATTTTGTGGCTGGTATTTTAACTGTGAGTGAATAGTAGTTAACCTGGGGTATCCTAACCAATTCTTCCCCAGCACATATCACTAGCAGAAGCTTTCCATGTCCATCTTTGTATTTTTACATCCTTTTTGTACAGCCCAACAGTGGAGAACTGATGGCATCAGCAACATAAAGTATGAAGCACAAGAAAAGAGCATCACCTTTGTGATGGGTGGCTTTTATACAGTAGCACTTCTCCAGGATGCTCATCTCAACATGCCATATAAAGCATGGGAATTGCAACCTACTGGGGTGGATGAAGCACTCCTTATAGTTACTACAGACTTGGCAACAATTCAGATACAAATTAAGGTAATGTAAGTAATTTTTTTAATCAAACAGTGGTAGTTTAAAAAAAAAAAAAAACAAACCATAAGTATTATAGTGTCCATCACTAAGAATTTTAGATGTTTCCACAAGACCAGTTTGAATCTCTCTGTGCCAGTGAAAATGAGGGAGGATCTCTTCCTTTCCAAGCACTGTCCCAGTTATTTTCTGTGAGCTGGTCAGAAGGAAAATATGTATGATTGCTCTGCAAAGTTCTAGTAAATGCTTTGATATGGATTGTGCCTTGCTGTAATCAAGACTTTCAGCAGCTAGAGACTTGAAAACTACTCCTTTTTTCTCCCAGCTATATCAAGAGAAAGAAAAGCATTTCAAAACAGCCTACTATTAATGCTACTTGCTCCTTCTAAAGGTTCAAGTCACACGTGATTGTCCATCTGTTCATTAATATATAAATCATTATTTGAAAAAAGCACACCTGTGTATTTTCTGAATTCCTACAGAGAAGTGGCTTTCTTCAGGACATGTAAATGAAATTCCAAGCCCAGAGTAGCAGATAATGTATGTAACTCCCAGAATAGCAAAGATGTTACTGTTTGCTGCCTAAAGCAGTGAATGACGTCCATGCCCACTAAGTTGTTTTCACTGCTTTGTACAACAGGGTAATCAGTGTATGTTGTCTTCAGTAGTGGTGGAGGAGAAGGATGTGCTTTCCCACATCACAGGAAAATGGATGAGTCCACTTGCCCTCAGAGCAGCTTTGAAAAGAGCTGGTGTGAACATTTTCCCAGGAGAGTATTCTCACAACTATGTCCCTGTGACCAGGAAGGTGAGTACAGGAGTGAATGGTTTTTTCCACCCATTTTTCACTTGCTTTTCACCCTTCTTGCATGAAGACCTGCAGTCCAGAATATACATGTGTGCTGCCAGCTGAGCCAGTGGGTTCTGGTTGGTTAAAGCAAGCTTTTCCTTACATTTGTATAACACAGTCAGTGCCTTTCCCAGAGATAAAAAACAAAACACCTTGTATTTTTGCATTCCAGGCTGCCCTGGCAGAAGTTAAGGCCTGTCAACAGATGGCTCTGGTTGCACCTGCATTTGCTTTTGCATCAAGCAGGTGGAATGGAGCAGCAGGTCCAGAGCACGTAGTGTTCAAGGTTTGTGGATTTAGTTTAATTTCATTTACTCCCTGCTGCAAAGGGAGGAATAAGCGACTTAAGCACTGATTTGTTTCCACCTGTAAATTAAAACGTGGTTAAAGCTTCTCCCAGACAGGCAGATACTCCCAGTTGTGGCTGCAGATAGAGAACACACCATGATGTTGAAACATCAACATTCAGCAGCTCTCCCCTTTAAGTCAAATGCATGTGACACAAAAATATTTAGCCTAGTATTTGGTGTCAGGAATAAAAACTAAAATAAATTATGCCTGTTGCACCTAGCTAGGCTAGGAGTCAGGAACAGCAGCTGGAGTGCCCAAACCTTGGAGTTTAGAGGCAAACTAGATGGAAGATTTCAGTGTTAATACAGCACCTGGTACACAGGCTCTTGGGCACAGAGAGCTAATATTAATATTGGTTTAGAGGGGTTGTTTCTGTATTATACTCACAAGAATTTACAACTTCACACCAGAATTTATCCTCTGTCAGTGGCACAGGCTCTCTTACAGTGCATTTTTTCTTGCAATAGGTAAGGGAGCATCTTGAAGCAGATTCTGTCCAAGACAACAACTGGTCTCTTTACATGTTTAATGGTCAGAAAGCACAAAAGCTCAAAATCACTGAAACCAGTGAAGCTTTTTCAGAAGAGATAGAAGAAGATTCTGAATTTCACTCCACACTCTACCATCTGCTTAAGGATTTTGCCAGCAAAGCAGCAATGGATAAAGTGGAAGGAGCCAGCTGCCTGTTTATGGATGTTGTGTATCAGCTACTCCTTACTACCAGGGTTTTAACATACTCTTAAATACTGTGTTTTCCTTCAAAACTTTATTATCAAAAGTTCTCAATAAAGTTACAGTTCAAGTCTAGAACCCTGTTCTATTCAACTCATTGAAACAGCTCCAGTGACTCAAATGCAAACAATTTTTTCTTAGTTCTGTTCAGGTTTATAATTTGAAAGTAGCTAACAATAAAAACGACTAAGTGGTCCTAGCCACAAGAGAATAATGAACTTACTTTGCTTGAACAGAGACCCTTTCAGCTACTTGTAAAGATGACTTTTGTCAGAATAGAGGGAAAAAAAAATATATATATACACACTTTCATTTCAAGTCATGCTTTAGAGAAAGAAAAAAAAATCTCCCCAAAAATACCCACAACCCAACAAAACAAATCCAAACACATAACCTTAAATAAACTATCTCAGCTTCTTAGAAAGTACTTGAAGTACAACTACAGAAGTCAGAACCTTGGTTATACTGGGGGGGGCCCATTGTGTCGCAGTCTTATGTAGGGCCACAGCAGCTGCTGTAGTGATGTCCAGGAGTCCCCAGTTCCTACAGGTGCTGCATCTGCGGGTCTGTGAAGGGACAGCCCCGTGAGGAAGCTCATGAGGGCAGCCAGGAGCACCAGGATGGAGACAGAGACCCAGAGGGTTTTGTTGGCATTGGAAAAGGAAGCCTTGAAGTCAGACACCCACAATGACATCAAGTTGTACCTGTGCAGGAGAATAAGGCAGAGCAGTTTTCCTTCACAACTTGGAAGCTCTTCCCACCTCACCTCAAAAAACCCCTCAATTAGCTCCCACCAACATAGAGATCTTTATCGATAAAGTGACAAGGTTGGTGCTGTAGGTTGTGTTCTGGGTTTAAAACACAGTCCTCATGAAAGGAAGTTTCAGGTGGCTCACCCAGCTCACAAGTCCACCCATGTCCCCTGGACACACTCTTCTGAAGAGGATTCACAAAAGCTGCCTTGCAAGATCATAAAGAAATCGTGCTTACGGAAAGCACTAAAAGTTGTGGCCTTCTGCTGTTTTCTATGGCTCTGGTGCCTTCCCTGAGGTTAGGAGAAAAGTCTTACCCTCCCTGACTATCCAAATCCTAGACTTCTCATGACAGTGGGTACCTCCATCCTTTATGGAACAATGGGGAATAATATATATTTGTCCTTGCTGTCACATACCAGCATAATTGTCTTGTCTCTCCCTTGATCACAAATGCATCCAGGGAAGGTTAAACATTCTGTGTTCATATGGAATAAATGGTTTTATTATCCCCTGCAGAGGCAACAAGCCCCCTTTTCTGTAAGGCAGGGGCATCCAAGGGATACATGGACAGCACTCTCTTCCCTGACTTGAGATATTCAGAGGCATTAGCTGGGATAGTCTGGAGTTAGTCTGGATAACCACTTGTGTCATCCTTAGTCATTTTTACAAGACGACATGCTAGCATTTCCAAGTAGCTGAGCTGCAACAGCTCCCAGAGTAACCAAAAGAAGTCAGATTATAGCATGAAACTTCTCTTTTCCTCAGCATTTAGGATTAGGAATGAATTCCTGGAGAGGTGAGTCTGTGGCACCCAAGATTACTTCCTCACAGTTGGTTTAAGTGAGTATTAACAACACAACCACAGCTTCAGCTTTGCTTCCCTCTTCCACACAAACATTACTTTAACTCATGAAAACAAACAAACTTACACTGACTCCAGCATCCATTTTGATGAATATTTTCCTTTCTCAGAGACACTTTCCTTCCTGGTGGGTTGTTCCTGTACTTCAGCAGGGGACTCTGACTGCTCATTTCTGTAGGCAAGAACCAACAGCTCCAGAGCTTTGCCATCAAGCTAAATTCACAATAGCTGGATTTTATAGCCCTGATCATCAAAGAGTTCATTAAAAACCAACCAACCCACCCTGCTCACACATCCCTGAGGAGGTTGCTGTTGGACTTACTTTGGTGCAAAGTGCTCCTCTTCATACTCTGCCCAGGAATAGGTGCTGAGGAATCGCTGCAGCGAAGGACGCTTCTCGTTTTGCTTCACCCCTAGTTTCCCCCTGGCACATTTTAAACAAATTTGCCTGAATTTCCCCAGGAAATAGCAGGAAATTAGAAATTTAGCAGCCTGCTACTCATTTAGGTAGGCCTTAGACAAATAACTTTCAAAACTAGTTGCCTGAAATTATGATTATTGGAAAAAATACCCAAACAAACAAAACCAAACAAAACCACAGATCCATCAATGGCTGATACTTGGAGTTTACACTTTAGTTGAGGTATTTTTTAAAAAAAGTTTCCAATGCTTAATAAAAAAATAAAATAGATAAAATAAATAAAAAAGAGCAGCTGTAACATTTAGTCCTGAAGGCTCATTTACCTGTTGTAGCACCTAAAACTAATGTGAAAGGCCTAGCATAAACATTGTTATACTTGAGATGCCCCATAAGCTGTTTACTACAGGCACAGTTGGAGTTGAAAACAACATTTCACCCTTTTCAAAGACAAGCCCAAAGGAATTTACCAGCTGCTTGATCTCCTATTGAACCTCTCACTCCGTTCGTCTCCATCGGGGTCATGGAGTTGGGCCTGGAGAAGAAATTTGGCACATTTACTGCACTGTCATTCTCATGCTTCAGCCCAGCCAGTTTTGAGAAGATCAAGCACTTCCCTACCCCTTTGGGAACCCCCCTACTTACCAGTGGCAACCCAATCCCTGCATTCCCAGCACTCCTGGGCACTGTTGCAATGCTAACTCTCCGCAGGGCTGACGATGGCTACACAAATAAGAGGCATTACTGGCTCTTATCAAGGAACCATTGGATTACTCACTGAGCACATAAAACACCATCTGTTTTTGTACAGACTGTATTATAAAAAATAGGTGTTGATTCTTGGCTTGAAGTGACACACAAAGAACCAAATCACAAGTGCAGGCAAAAATCATTCTTTAAAGCATCATTAAGTTTTTAGCACCTGAGTGGGGCTAAAGCTGGTTACTCAGCTCCCAGCAAAATAGCAAAACTGAATGTGTCTAAATTCCCCTAATCCTTCTCACAGGAATTCCTATAATCAATTTAAATCACTCTCATCTATTTTTTTTTCATATTTCTGTGCTAAACTTTTTTAACCCCAATGAGAGAACCACAAGTGAACAGTGTTTCTTAACCACTGAGAGCCTGACTATGTCATCTTCTATGTGTGACTTAGAAGGTTGGTGGGATGTCTGAAAAGTAGATCCTCATGTTTGATGACATCAACCCATATTTGTGACAGAAAACCACCAAGCCAAGCATGTAGCAGAGCACCAGCACATAACAAAGCAAAGGAAGACACACATACACAACACTTAAAAACTTGACATTTCATGTAATGCTGTACCTTAAAGTTAAAAGGACTTGGTAGCTTTTTATTTGTAGATTCATCTGTGAAGAGATCAAACATCAGAACAAGCTTACAGGAACACAGTTTCAGCTCTACTTTCAGCTAAAGGTCTGACTTTTTGTAGTGTTTCTTTAATCAAAGAGTGTATGAGAGTACTCTCAGAAAGCAGAAATGAGATCTCAGGAAAAAGCTTTCTAATTCATTAAATAAGTTCTTAATATCCACATCCTCTGCAAGCATCAATTGCTGTCACTATCATCAAATATATTCTATTATCAAGGCAGTATCCTGTTACAGTCAGAACAGAATAGCCTGTGATTCAGAAGGCTCCTGCCAGGATTTTACTGGTGTGTGAGACTGCCCTTTTGGTTTTTAAAAAGACACATCCTATTTCTCAGAAGAATTTAATACTTCTCTGGCAAATCCACAAGTGCACAGCACTGCTCTGCTACCTGCTTAGAGGGGGAAATTAGCCCCCCTTGCTCTTAAGGAGTCTGTAATTCCTGTTTAGAGAAGGGCAGGAAGCATCTGTAGAGAGCAGCCAAAGCTCAGCTACCTAGAAATAGCTCCTGCAAATGCTCCAGTGTGAACCAGCACCCAAATTTACTGCTCACAAGGAATAAGATTATCACCAACACATGCAATGCACTTTTCTGAAAGCCAGAATGTTCCTATGTACTTGCAGTGGTCCCACACAGACACTCCAAGATCCATCACAGTTTACAAGTCTGATTTCAGGTTGTTTTTAATACCACCAACAAATTGCTATTTCCCCTTCATCTATGCTTCACCTAAAAGGGTCCCTCTGGCAGGTGCTAGAAAGGGTTTTTTCCAGTTACCTCTGTCTCCCAGGGAACTGAAGGATCTCTCGTTCTGGAGCAGGACCTGTTTCAGCTCCTCGAGTTCCGCGTGTTCTTTCGCGTACATGCGCTTCAGGTTTTCCACATGTTGGATCATTACTTCCACAGCCTTGCTGACCCGGCTCTCCTGACAGGGCAAGGGCAACAGCAGGGGGAAAAGGAAACAACTCAGAGGAAGTGCATCATGTTTAGAAATTTCCCTGCTTCAGCACCTACTCTCATGTGGTATCACCATGAAGCAGCAGCCTCCCGTTTTCGTCCACCCTTTCAAAGTTTCACTACCACCCGTGTCCCAAAACATGCCCAGGTTTCATTTCTCCACTGATTACTCTTGTCCTAAAATAAATAATGAAGTCTTCAGTTTTCCAAGCTCTTACAACTCCTCCTCATCTCTTTCTCTGATCTGCAGTCTCAGCTGCCACCACGCATTTGCTGGTATTGCCAAGTTGTGTTTTCATGCTGCTCTGTGGCATTACTCACAATTACACCCAGCATTTGAGCAGGTCTTTGCACATTTCCATACATTTAGCTCATTAGCTGCCCTTTCCATAAGGCACAGAAAGATCATTAGAGCTTCAAGACTATTGTTGTCAAATTGCTTTCTCGTGCTTGCTATTATGTAAATCCCACTGCTGTAAAAAGTCTTTTTTTAATTATTTGTGTTTGGTTTTTCTTTTAAATCAGGACCTTATTTCTTTTTGCACTATATATATTGCACTATATATATACATATTTCTTTTTATACTATATACACCAGATTCCCAAATCCAGTTCTGGAACCAGAAGCCCAGCAAACAGATGTGACCACCCCTTTACATCTAGAAGCTTTTAACTTAGTACAAAATACTTTTACACAGAAATGGTTACCTGATTAATAGCTCCCAACATCTCTGCTCTGCTGGCCACTCGGGCTGCATACTGGCTGAGGAACTGCAAGCTTTTCTGCAGCTTCTTAATGATCTCCTGTGCTTGGTTGTCTTCTTCACACAAAGGAACTAAAGCCTGAGAGGCACATTGGTAAGAAAATAGGTGTGAGTTATCAACAGAGAATGGTGAACCCAGCAGAGGGCTCTGAGGAGTTGTGTTTGGGTCTACACAGCCACAAGATCAGCATCCAACATCTTCAACCAGTGTAACTTGGATACAGAACTCCAGTGGGCAGAGACCTCTGCTTATCTAGCACAAAACCAGCTGAAGACAGGGGTTCAGGTCAGATGTTTGTGCTACAGAAAAATTCCCTGTTGCCTGAGCACACAAACCACTCAGATGAAGGTTACCCCTCATAATCTCTCATATTTCAACTGCGCTGCTCAAGAACTTCATCCAGATTAGTTTATAATATATCACACACACCCTTAGAAGAGCTGTTTCAAGAGAGGCACTTTGACAGCTGTTCACTCCATCCACCCTACCAATACCAACCTCCAACATCTTTACAGCATTTGTGATCTCCTTTTTCAAGTTTTCTTCAGCCAAGTCTCGTGACCTTTCTTCAAGCTTCACCCTCTTGTCCAAGGTAAACAAGTCACATTTAAAACCTAAAGACAACCTCAGAAATTCAGCCTGTTGGGGGAGAGGAGAAGATTTCAGAATAATCCAAGTGATGCAGAAGCTTTTTAAGTAGACTTGGACACTGACATGACATTTGGGACTATACCCCAAGAACAAAGTTATAGAAAAGGTATATATAGAAGGGTAGAGTGAACATGGCCTGCTTCCCCAAAGCAAAACTTCCCATCTGTAGTGATGGGGGGAACATTCTGCAGCCAGAATAGGTGACATCCTGGCAGCACAGAGTGTGCCATCTGTGCCTTTTGACATAACTCTCTAAAATCAGCACATTCTGCTTAGGAGGTGGTCACAGCTACACTCCTTTAAGCTTGCAAACAAATGTTACAGTGGTGACTATGTTCAGTTTTACAGATTTCCACCTTGCAAAATTTCCATTAGGCTTGAAAAGGCAGATTTCAGAAGGTAACATGTAGAAATATATCCAATTTAAGCTGCTCAGCATCATTCTTTTACTTAGGACAAGATATTAATAATGGCTTCTCATCCAGATCTTTCTGTTGTACACAATACTTAAGGATACAAGCAGTTGAGACTTACCTCCACTTCCTTCTCACTAGGGGATTCACTGTAGGATAAGAAGAAGAATCATGTAACACACTGCAGCTTTAAATTCATACCTGCAGCTGATCACTCAAAGTCAAAACACTTACGGCTCGTTTTGCTTTGTCTTATCTCCTTTAATGCCACCTGCAGTGGGTGAACTCCCTGACAAGAGACAAAAAAACCAAAAATCTTTCAGATAAAACTGAAAAAACAGCCTCCCCAAACCAACCTGTGAAAGTCTTTTAAGCTTCAACAGAAGCCACTGTGGAAGACTTCCAGTGTTCAGCTCTTGCCAATAAAAGCAACTCAGAGTATTTTGGGTGTGAGACAGCACAGCTCTGCCACTTGTACAAAGCCCCAGAAGTTACTTGTTTAGGTGGCTTCAACTGGCATCTTATTAGCACAGAAATGGTTAATTAAATGTTTTGGCTTCAGGATGTTACATGGCATACTACATCAGTAGCTTTTAGTGAGCTCCAAAGGCAGGAGGTGAGGGGACTAAAAGAGCAGAGATGTCTAAGTAAAAACAACATCCTGCTTATCTGTGTTGCACCTAGCATGAAGATGCTGCTTTACAAATCTTTGGGGAGAACAGGTGTGCCAGAACTGTTTTTCAAGCATCCCAACTCCTTTGCAGCTCCTAAGAATTTTTCCCTGCTGTCTAGAGGAACGCAGAGCTGGTTAGATCAGTATCTGTAGCAATCAGATTTTGCATGACACCACTGTCCTTCTCTGCATTGCTAATCCATTTTGGTCTCTAACTGCAGCTACTGCTCCTTAAAACAAAACCCTCTTGTAATATTCAGTGTGGGACAGGCAGCTTTCTGCCCCTCTCTATTTGTATTAAGTCAGGTGACCAAGACTTGCACTCCAGTGAGTGATGTGAACGTGTTCAGCAAGAACCTCTTACCTTTCCTGCTGGGAACCACGGCTGGTGCTTCCTCACCCCACTCTTTGTTATTTTTCTTTTCCTGGTCCCCCTCCTAAAGGCACAGCAGAATAATTACAGCAAGGGAGCAGCCACAACACCTCTGGAGGAGGCCTGTCCCCTCCTTTGTCACTGCTCAGCCAGGCCAGTTTGGTGTCTCACTGTCACCAGGACTCTTACCGGGTCTTGCTTTAAAACACTTTGAAGTGCAGGTTTGTGTTCCTCCATCACTGGGTAGAATTCCTGCTTGATGGGTCCTGTGGAAAAACATTGCCAAAAGTCAAATATAATGATAAAGAAACCCCACCAAGCTTCCAACACCCACCATATGAGCCATGGGCCAATAGGGCTAAAAGAAACCACAGCAAATGTCAGGAGAGGCCACTAAGAAGGAGAGGCAGCAGCAAAAAAACACTATAAAGACATACAGAAAGAAGTGTGGTAATTTTGTTTGGAAAAAATCCCAATAAGTAGTGTTATATGTCTGGAGCTGAGAATATTACTCCTGGTTGTACTTGCTGTAATTGAAGTTGCAAGAGTTATAATAATATTTCCTTGGATAAATGAATTTTATTATATTGAGGGTTTGTTATTTGTTTGTTATTGTTTATTATTTGTTGGGGGGTGTTGTTTGGTTTGCTCTTTAAAGAGACATATTATAGATACTTTTTATTTTTGAATTCTATAGGCACAGAAATATATTTTTTCAAAAGTCCCATGCACAAAGCAACAGGACAAATTATGAGTATCTGTAATTCTCTTCTTTCACATTTTGGAATGTCAGATGATATTAAGAAATAGACGCTGATTCAGCTGCTGTTACTGAGGAGCTTGAGCACAACCAGGTCATGAAATGCACAGTTTGCATACAGTTATGGTATTCCAGGTGTCCATAAACTCTGAACCTGCTCTGCCTTCATACCCAAAAAGTGAACCAGCAGGGTGCTGACAGAGCCAACAAAATAACTCTTTTTCCCAGAAGCTGAGTGGTAACAAACTGTAAATTCAGTTGATGATGCCAGTTCAAAAGCAACACAAACTTTCAAGTGCCACGATTTAGAAAAGCTTTAAAGCAGGCAAATAATAACCTTGACAGTTACCAGAGATATTTAAAAACAAAAGTATTTAGGAAACTGAAGAAAGTCGGTCACACTAAATTTCTTGTGCAGCAGTACCTCTGGTAGCTTTAAGAATATCTAGAATTTTTTTTCTTTTCTGTTTATGTAGTCACACACAGAGACAGATTTGAGCTGAAGAAATGGCACAGGGAAAAACAAACAAAAAAAGAAAAAACCAAACAAAAACCCCAAACAAACAAAACAACAAACAAACAAATCAACAAACAAAACAAAATCCAGTTTCAGGGGGATGAACATGAACAAACACCTCTGCTCAGTGTTCTGTCTCTACTAGTTTCTGCAGCAGCCAAGCCCTCTAGAAGACATAGTATGGTACTAGCAAAGCCCACAAGTGGAGATTCCTCAATACTAAGAGTAGAAACACTTTATTTTCAGGTATGTACAACACTTAAATTGATTCTCACACTTTAAAGCTGCTGGGACTCTTTCTGATCTGTTCTGCATATCTGTTTCTTCTCTGCCAAAGACACCTGGGCCACATATGAAGATCAACAGTAGAGGCAAATTAGTAGAAAGAAAACACTTTTAAGTGAGGGGACTGAATTACAGTTCAGGAAGATAACACAAAGAATGAAACAAAACCAAACAGGAAGCCATAAAGTCTTACATTTAGGTAAAGATTAAAAAATGGTTACAAACAAGCACACACAGGTATTTTGTGCTGCTTATTCAGATCAGGTCTTATAAAAATAACTTAAATACACTGTGTACACCTACTCAAGTTTGGGTTTGCTTTTATAGCTTTTAAGTGGAAGAAGCACCACCAGATGTGGTAAGAATAATTCTTCTGGGTGTCTATGGCTATAGCAAAAGACAGAATCATACACAAAGGCCTCTATCCTCATCTCTCCTCTTGATCCAGCCTGGCTTCTTGCACACTGAGCAACAGTTTTGTAAGAGAGGAAAAAGTGTTATTTGGTCTAACGGTGGAACTAAACTCTCTAAAAACCATGAAAACACTCTCTCCCCTCCCAAAATTACCTGGGGTTTAGTACCAGTGCAATGCTTTGCCAGCTAAGCAACCATCAAGATTTCACTAAGCTGTTTCATGTTTACTTGCAGTGCTGCAGCCAACCAGCCTCCTGTACACACGTGAAGCCTCATTCCCACTCAGAGTTTCAGGGAGGGCTGAGAGGCACTTGCAGGTGACAATATTTGCAAAAAAACCCAGAAATTCGCAAATTGTTGTTCTTACTCAGCTTCCTCACTTCAAAAGGTGTGCTGGAAGCAAACCACTGGGTGAGTGCCAGCAGTTACTGTACCTGACACAGGACCAGCTGGATCCTTATCACTGTTTTTCTCCGTTGCCGCAGAAGTTGGCACATCGTCCTCTCCCTCACGTAAGCCCTGGGGTGATTCTTCCTCCATGACAAGGCAGCCTGCAGTACCAGACAGAAGACACAGCCCTTACATCTCAGTAAATGCACAGACTTCAGCATATCCAAGACTTCCAGTGCAAACCTCTGCCCCTCTGAGCTCCAGGTTAAGGACTCACCCGTCACCGGTGCCGTGCTTTCCGCCGAGGACGCAAGAACGTCTCGGGCTGAAGTGAGGTGGTCACTGCCAAAGCAAAACTCTTTCAGATACTCATGCACATTATACAATCTCCATAAAGGCTTTTAAATTTTGCACAGGACCTGACCTGGATGGGATCAGACTGGCTGGTAGCGTTGCCTCTGCACAGTCAAGCTTCAGGGAGAGAGAGAGGAGTTAGTGTCAGGGAGAGGGTTGCCATGCCAGTATCAAACTTCTGTGTCAAAGCTTCAATAATTGCCCCAGCTAGGCCTAAATTATTTCAGCAGTGAAGAACTAGATGAGAAATGCCCACAGATCCACCCTCTGTTCTAAAGCCACCCGTAGATACAGTGAGTAGTGTAGCACATTATCATTACTAGGAGTGATCACTACATTTCTTCAGAACTCTTATCTCAGGAATATCGTACTTAGAGAGATTGTATTTTGGTTCCTGACTTCATGGTTTGCTTCTTATGCACGTTTTCAAATGTCCAAGGCACATGTTACTGCACCACTGTTCCACCATAGTGTTGTGTATCAAGAGATATCAATTTTAAAGGTCTTGACCTCAAACCCTACAAAGTGAGGTGCACAGAGCTTCACTTGGTTATGGGTATCAGACTCATTTAGGTAAATAAAAGTTTTAATAGTAACAGCATGACCAAGTTCAGAACACAGAAGACTTGCATGTTGTGTTGTACATTTTAGTGTCTCTCTTTAAATGACTCCAGTTTTACAATATTAAATACATAAAAGTTATCCAGCCCCTTCAGAGGGCCCTGGGCCTCCTCCTCAGTGTGCAAACAGCAAAAAGCAGTTAAATGTGGGTACATAGTTTTTCCTCATGTTCCTTTAAGCTGTTCCCATGTGGTTCTGGACTCGAGTCTTATCACATCACAGACAAAACCAATATCCTGTTTGGTCTTTTAATGCATCAAGGGAGGCACTGTAGGGGTACTATCCCTCTTCTTCATTTTATCCTGGATAATTCCAGCTTGTTAAAAACTCCACATTGTTAAAATGATTTGTCTTACAGATGAAAATACAGGGTGAAACTGAGGTTTAAAGGTTTGAGCTGGTAATGAGTTGTGATGAACTGCACCCACTGTTGAAGAGGAGTGCTGAATACACTTAAAAAAAAAATAAAACAAACAACCCAAAACCTCTCTCCAAGCAGAGAAGGTGTGAGGTCAGTCTAGTCCCCTGTATAGCAAGTCCAAGAGCACTATTGAATTGTGTGTGGAGAGCCAACAGAAAAACCATGTTTTGGTATCATTCCTCCCCCCTAAAACATCCTAATAGGGCCCAGGAAACCCAGCAAAGTAGAACAGGAGGAGTCCAAGGTCCTTGGTCACTTCTGAGAGCAACCAACTACTCCCAGCATCAGTAAGTGCCTTCTCTCCCCTCCTCACTCCCCCACTATCCAAGCCTTGCTCCAGCCAGATGGATGCTTCCTCTAATGCAAATTCAGGCTATTTTTATTATTATTTGAATGCTCTCTCAAGCTGAAGGAAGTACAGCACTGCATTTGCTTTGCTGGGGCTGTTAGGTCTGCAGCAGAGCCAGAGAAGGAGGAGGTGGAAAAGAAAACAACAGAATTCTAAAGGGTTTCTAAAACTTATACACAGCACCCAAACAAAGCCCCTTGCATCACCTGGAAGTGACTAAAGCAATTCATTACTCTACATGCCCCCTCCCTCGCCAGTTAATCACATGGTCAGTGGTTTCTGTTTGCAAGGAAAGAAAATCCTCAATTCAGTTTTTAAAAATACTATTAGGATTGTGTATTCCCATGGATTACACTTAAAGAAAAAAAAAACACCAACAAGAAAAGCCCACATTTTAGATTTTCCAATAAAATCTATTGGCCCAGGGCATTAGAGAATGGCTCTTCCTACTCATAAAAAGACTGTGTCAGAGAAGATCCTGCAGTACATTCCTAATCAATTCCCCCCCCTTCCATTCCTTCAATTAACATAGTAATCCAAGGATTCTCTATAATAGCAGACAAATTCTGGTCACAGTCTTTTATAATCCCTTCCAAACAATTATTAAAATTTGGAAGACCTGGTTTTCAGACTGTGATACAACTTCCACATTTATAAATCAAAACAAGTATAAAAAGCCCAAGCCCAAGTGCTCCTTTATTAAATAGCCCTCAACCTCCTATGATGACAATGCTTCTACATAAATAATTTGAGTTACTTATATGCTGAAAGACTTGATCTGCTCAAATACATCTGCAATGGCAGTGTAATAAAACTCCAAAGAAAACTAGGGAGACTTTTCCTATTAAACAAGGATATACAAATTTTGCTGCATGCCAGTTTTTAGAACAGATACTGAGCAGAGCCCATTTGCCTTCTTTTTGGGACAAGCTTTAACCTTTTTAATTTTCCTCCTTTAGAATATTTACACAGAAAGCTTGTATTAAAAAATGATACCAAGAATGGAAAAGTGAGATTTCTGAGCCCAGCTGGAACTACAGAAAGCTCCAGAGTAACGAAGCACAGGTGTTTTAAACACCTTTGCAAGGCTGTGGCTTTCCAGAAGGACTGGCTAAAGCAAGAACTCTTGAGATTATCTCCTCTTTAAGGTGATTTAAGCAGTAGCAGCATAAGCTGGGAGTTCTTCACCTGCTCTACCCCAAGCAAGCAGTGTGCTGAAACCACAGGCAGTGCCCATCACTCTTACTTTCTACCCTCACTGCACTTTCTGCTTTGATTTGCTGCTACAACTGGACCAAAGGCTGTTATTTAAGGTTATTTAGGTTATAAAGGTTATTCAGTCCCACAGGTTATCTCCAGGTTAACAGAAACCACCGACCAGTATTCTTCCATCATCATCACCATCACTCTTTGCAAAGCTCTGTGTGGCAGAGCTGAGGTCTGGATTTCAACAGTGAACATTGTGGCACAACTGGGTGTGCTGAGCTGCAGCTCATCTTGCTGTTGCCACGAGAAAACTGACTGACAGCTCAAGCTGTAGAGGCAGAATTCGAGCCAGCACCGAAGGCATAGCTGAGTACATCAGCTGAAGGAAAGCTTTCATACAGCAAAGATGGTATTTCTCTGCTGTTACATGGTGGCCGTGGGAGAAAGTGCAAAGAAAGGCATCATTTCCCAACTAAAGCACCCTGTGGCTCCTTGCAGGTGGATAAGAAGAGAGAAAGCACTCAGGTTTCCCTGGCATAACCAAGTATTACTGCAAAACCAGCACTGTCTCAAGCCCTGAAACCACATTTAAAATACTCCTCAGCTAAAAGAACGACCCAGTTGCACGTAAACATCAAGGCATTCAGATTTATAACCATGAAGTGGTTTATAACCAGAAGTGTGCCCAAAAAGGAGGGAATACCCCACACAGCACCTTGCTGGCTGATGCCAGCTCCATTCACCTTGCAGCAGTGCTGATTTATAGCTGATCAACCTAGACCTGGGCCTGAGTAAGGCACTGAAATGCCTGAACCTGTTCAAAACCACATCCAGGGCATCAGAGACAGCACTTACCTCAGTAAGTGAAGAGTCCATCATTGTAATGGAAACAGGAAGGTCTGCATCAGTGTAGTCACCAGCAGAGCATATTTTCCACCTGGCAACACACACTTTATTTGCATCTTGCCCAAACAACAGTGAGATGTGTTGCCCATTTTCCTTAAGCACATAACAACTGAAGGCACCACTATCTGTACCGTCAGTCAGCTGATCTCTCAGAGAAAGACAAATTCATCACCAACATCAATCCCTCCTCCCCCGAACAGCAAGAACCACCACCAGCTCTTTTCCCAGCCTCCTCCACACTGCAAAATTCTACAGAAAACCAGTGGCAAAAGCTTCAAGAGCTGCTGAGTCTTTTGCTGCAGACTGCCTGCCTCTGCACCTTCAGGAACATCCTTATCTTTTAAAATATTCACTGCAATTCCTTTCAGCTTTCATAATCTTAAGCAGTTCAACACCTATTTTAAAGATCTAAGGAGGCATCTTGGTAAGCAAAGACCACAGAATTCCTGCTCTAAACTCTGCAAATAAACAAAAAAGTGACTCCTCAAAGGCACCTAATGGAAGCACCAACTGTGAGCTACACATAGAAAATAGACCAGAATGCCTAAATCGTGCCTCAGTTCTCCAGCATTAAATGGAAACACCATCACCATATTTGACTGACTGCCAACATTTCCAGAAAAGAGTTTTCATATCTGTGGATAGAAGCCAAGTGTTACCCCATGTCACCATTTGCTGATCACTGGGTGTCCAGTATTTCCCATAAGGGAGGCCCTGCTGTTGAATCCAGCACATCCCATGGACTCCTCCACCTTTCCCCCCCAAAGAGGTTATTCTGCCATCTTACCTGCAGGCCTCTGATGTCACATCTGATGTGGACACATGTCCCAGGTCACCCCTTCCAAAGGTGCAGCTGCCAGAGTTTTGCCTGCAAGGCCAGCCCCAGCTGTGCCCAGGGGAGTTATTTGGGCAGGAGATTTCCAAGTTCAGAGCATCTAAAGACAGACAAGAGCAAAGAGAGGTGGTTGTTGGCAAAGTTAGATTTAGTTGTGTGTCAGTTTTTGGCTAAGTCTAAAATAACCAAGAAGCAGAACAACAAAAGAGAGATTTATAACAAGGTGACTTCCATCTTGGTATGACGGTGTTACGTGTTTTCTAGATGGAGAGTCTGCAGCACCTGGGGATGGGCACTTTCCACCAGTCAGGTTCTAGAAACTTCCACACTGGAAAGCTTTGTGGTAGTGAATTGGTTTGTGTGGCAGAGAGGACCAGGGAATAAATGATTTTTTTTTTTTAATATATCAATACTTGATTGGTGCAAGCTGAGAAAACCTGCCTTATTTGCTGGATCATGATATTATAGGAAGCTGCAAGAAAACTCTCAGTTGGCTCACTGGAACAGCCCTTTCAGAGCAGCAGAATGTTCTTATAAGGAGCACTTGTAGTAAAGCAAGATCTTCTTCCTTTTCCCTCAGTACAGTCTAGAATTAAATTTGAGCATTTATAGGCTATTAGTCTTTGTTATTATACCTATTTAGGTTAGTTATATGAAAGAAGTTCCTCCTGTGAGGGTGGTGAGGCCCTGGCACAGGTTGCCCAGAGAAGCTGTGGCTGCCCCATCCCTGGAAGTGTCCAAGGCCAGGTTGGATGGGGCTCTGAGCAACCTGGGCTAGTGGAAGGTGTCCCTGCCCATGGCAGGGAGTTAGAACAGGACGATCTTTATAGTCCTTTCCAACCCAAGCCATTCTATTTTTATAATTATATGATTTTATTCTCAGTAGTTGTGTTACCTGTTGAAGTTTTTAAACAGCATTGGCCTCAGCTCAGCAGCAAAGGAACAGGACATCACTTGCTGTCTCAATGGGAATGGGAAGAACATGGCTCAAGCCCTCTTGCTCTATATTGGCAAGCATCTTGTCAGGAATATACTTGGATGTATGATTTATACTGAGAGTTCCTTAAGCTTTTGGGGACTCCTGTCAGACTGACAGCCAGCCAGCCACCTTTTCAAGCACTACAAACATGGTTCAGCCTCCTGGATCACACACAGGAATAAGTTAAAACTCACAATAGATTTTCCACACTTTACCAGCATATTTATCACTAATGATACTGTTCTATCAACTCCTCCTGTACTTCAGGAAAGAGATAGAAAAATGGTCAGTACCACCAGGTCTTACCTAGCAGAGGGGAACTGTGCCAGGACAAAAGATCTGAGGGTCCTTCATTCCACGGCCCTTTAGAGCAATAGAGCTGCTAATTGAAAAATAAAAAGTGCTGCTGTTCAACCATACTGAATTTATTAAAGCCACCAACTTCCCCCCACCATCTGCGTAATGTAATACCAACAACTACAAATTCATCATCTGTTGCCTTTTTTTGCCTAGAAAAGTTCACATCCTCAACAGGCACAACAGGTACAGGAAGAGGGAGAATAATCCAACTTTCCACTTGCAAGAAATATGTATGGAATATACATTTGTATACATTTAAACACATGCATGCATATGTACACATATATGGATCTCAAATTATTTTTATGGAATGTTTAACTCAGTGAAGTTTCTGGCAAACAAAGTTATTTATTTCCATTAGGTCATGAAGAAAAAAGCCCAGACACTTTAAGAGGCTCAGCAATGGTCATAGAAAGGACACTTACCTTCCCTTTTATAGGTTCAGCTGAGGTGGGCAGCAGACCATAGGCAGATTCTAACTCTGCACAGCACTGTTGCAGGAGAGAAATAGTTTAAGGCAGGCAGATGCAGAAGGAAAAAAAAAAAAAAAAAAGGTAAAAAAGGAGAAGAGAACACTGCTACTGATTCTGAGCAAAAAGCAACTTTATCTTTCAAGCTGAACTATTTTCAGCTATCAGTTACAAAACTGCAACTGCAAAACTCTGCAGTTGTTTCTCCCTTGCTACTTTCAGCCTTCAATTCTGCAGACCTTCGTACACAAATATAAGTTTTATTCACAGGCAGCTGGCCCACAGTTTTGATCCCGCTTCTCTGATGCTCCTGTTACAACCTAGGAGCCACTTCAGGATCTTCTGTTTGCCATTATAAATACCTTGTTATTCTGTGTTAAATCCAGACTGCTCAGACCCTGAGCTATAGCATTCCTTACTAAAGTCTTTCCACAATGTCTCCCCCTCCACCCCCTTCCAAAGTTGAAGCAAGTAATTTTATTCAAAGCAAAGCACTCCAGAGTTATGTAATTTCCAACATATTTCCACAGAGGGTCACAAAGGTAATAACTGTTTTGCTGCCTCTCCCAGTGCCCTGGATATTGAAAAAAAAGATCTTACAGGACAAGATTTTAAACGTTTGTTTTTCAGTCTGTCTGCAGAAGAGAGGACTGATTTTGAGGGGAAAAAAAAAAAAAATCACACCAACTCGTCGGTGAAGAACACAACCATTTGATGTGATCACCAACAATTGTTCACCAACACCACACCTGTAAGTCCCAACCCATTTTTCCCAGAAGGTTGAATAAGGAAAATAGCAACGTGCAGATCGGTACATGCAATTTACTGCATCCACGTGCTACCAAAGGAGAAACCTGATGCTGCCAGATTATTTGCAGCTCATCCCAGCTGTGGTTGTCCTTCCACCAGAGCACCTCCTGGGCAAACCTGCCTCTCCTTCTCCCACCAAACAAGGTCATACCTGACACACCAACTCGCAGAGTCTCCTCTGAAGCAGTTCCCATCTCAGTGCATTAGCAGTTGCTATGAGGAGACATTTACAAACCCATCAGGGTTCCTTACAGATTCATAACAAGGAGCTGGATGTTATAGATGTTATAGCACCTTTAAACCTGACTACTGCCCATCAGAACTCACTGTAATTTGCATTAGTCTAGTTATGCCTACAACAGTTTTTCCACAGGAAAGAGAAAACACTGGACACTTTCTTCCCCGTGGTTACATTTCCCCTTGCTATACAAGAGGTGGGGGGCTATGCTTCCCAGCATTATTAACATTGTGATGCCAAAGTTCCCTGTGGAAACAGATTAATTACTGCAAGAGAAGCATTTGTTGTCCTGTAGAGAAGTTTTAAAGTTGATGGGCTTTATGTTATATTTAGAAGCATTCTTTGTTCAAGTTTGGTAATGCCAAGACCCGCCTCCAGTGAGTTCTACCTTAATTCTATCATATCTTTTATACCACAGTTCATATGGAGGGTGAAAGGGGATTTTATTAGCACTGTGACCTCAGTGCCCAAGCACTGGAAGGAGCTCTCAGCAGCTTGGGCAGCATTTCACTGGATGAGGGCTGGAGCAATTAGGGGCAAGGCACAATTAGACACCTGAAACATAAAAGGAGCAGTGCCAGGCTGACTGAGGTTGAACACCAGCTTCCTTAGCCAACAAGGTTCCTTAATTTCTCACCTCTCAGCACGCAGGTGGGAGGAAGTAGGGGAATGGAGTGGGTAGGTGGGGAGGAAACCACAGCCCAGCCCTTCAGTCAGAAGAGGAACCAGACCTGTGTGGCTTTCTGCCAATATAAAGCATTTTTATTCTTCCCCCAGTGCCAGCCTTGTTTGTCAGCCCTGTTCTTCATAACACTTTGCAACTTCTCTACACTGCCACTTTAATTCTATTAAATCTACAGGTATAATGTATCTAGAGAAAGTTTGCAGAGATCTCTAACTGGAGCAATTTAAAGCCAAAATCTCAGTCATTTTCAGGGTGGTGGGAATTTTTAAGGTGTTTTTTGTTTTTTTTTTGTTTTTTTTTTGTTGTTTTTTTTTTTAGAGTCAGAGTGGCACCAGTCCACTTGTCTGGGGTTGTCTCTCTCTTCACTTACTCTAGCTCACTCTGCAGAAGAGCTTTGTCTATTCAGAGCAGGAAAATGACACACTATTTCCATTGTTATGCCTCTTGTTAAGGAAAAAAAAAAATCAGCTCCACAGTTTGAAGGAAGCAGTGAGCATGAAAGGAACATGAGCACACACACGTGAACAGTGCCAAAATTACTGATCACAAGTGGGTGAGCACAGTCTGGAGCTGTTCCTGTCATATCAGTGCATAACAGTTGTGCCTCAGAGCTAAGCAAAAGGGTAGTTTTTCCCTACAAAAAAATGTAATGTTTCCTACAAGACAAACTGTGGTTTCACATGGAGATATTTACAACACACATATGTGTGCTGAGCATCAGTAACATTGCCTTGGGAAATTCATGCCTGAGGCCAAACGTTCACTGGGATAAGTCAGTCAGATTCCTTTTCTATAAGCAAGGGATCACACTCCAGAATTCGGGAAGAAGCAACCACTGCATTATTTAGTCACCCAAGTTTTTGAGGTTAGGGAGTAAGAGGGAATACGAAGTTTCCATGACTCTGTGGCAGAAATTGCACGTGTACAACACAGTGACACAATTGCTTTCCACTGAAGAGAGCAGTCTAATATCACAGCAGTTATTCAAAAACACAGCAACTACAAGCAGCAAACAGAGTGGGGAAAAAAAAAAAATCAGGTCTGTTTGGTCCAGGAAGCTTAAGAAAGAGGGGTGACTTTGTTAGGAATAAGGTGGGCTGTTCAGGTGTGGAAACAGCACCTCTGGTAAAGGAGCACCCACGGAGTTACTAATCCTTCCTCCTCAGACGGGAGATTTTGTCAGGAGGTTCTGAAGCTGTGGTCAAGCCCAACACCCACTCCTTGGGATCCCACCTGCTTTTCAGCCCAGGTGCCACGGTGGCAGATCTCTTAGATGAAAAGTAGAAAGAAAGGAAAAAAAAAGGCTCCACAGAGCATTTTACCTGCAGATCAGTCCTACCCTCCCTTGCTCTAACTAAACCATAAACTATCTGCCCATGCAAGAGTGAATATGCTGGCACACTGCCAGTAGTTACTCACTTCTCTGGTGTTCCACCTTTTCCTGAAGCAACTGGCAAGTGCTTGTTAAAGCTGCACTCACATCCCTGAGCCTTTGCTGCTCAGAAATGGCTTCCTCCAACTTGCTCTTCAAGGATGCTGCTTCCTCACGAGCGGAGTGAAATGCTTCAACTTGATCCTCTGCCTAAATACAAAAAATATTTAGGGAAAAAAAAGAAAGGAATTAAAAATAAATAAATAAAAAAAAAAGGCTGCCTGGCTAAGACAAGGAGCCTCTATAGTTCATGTAAATGAAACCAAACTGCATCTGTTCTTTCTCAGGAAGTGATAAAGCTCCCTCTGAACTTCTGCATTTTTACGTTGGGGTGGACTGTGTATGGAAGCTATTTTTGGGCGCTTTTTTCTCTTTTCTCTTTTTTTTTTTTTTTAAGCCACCACAAATATGCAATGCTGCCTCTTTCATCAGCAAACTGTTGTCACCACCCCCTCAAATTTTACTTCCTCTGCTGGTTCCACTTTTGCAGTGAGGCACACCATCCCGAACACGCGATTTCCTTTCCCAAGGGCAGCCGCACATCGTGCGTGGCCTTTGGCATCTGCCTCTTTCCTGCTCAGAAGGAACTGGACTGTCCCTTACATGTCTGCTGGCATCCTTGAGCTGCTTCAGAGCTTCCTGAAGCTCTAAACCAAGGGCTTCTGCCTGGCCAGCAGTTTCTTCTTGTAGCTGTTTGACAGTTTCTAGCTCGTGTTGCCTGCGGGGTGAGAGCAAAAACCACAACCCGTTACTGACATTTTGGGGAGGTCATGCCCAGGAGATGACACAGCCTGGCTGTTGAGACATGCATGGAGAACCACAGTCAGCTGTGACATCCTCCAGACACTGCCCAGTACCAGGGACTCCTTGCTGAACACAATTCACAGAATGTGCTGAGTTAGAAGGGACTCACAAGGACCATCCAGTCCTGCACAGGACCATCCCCCAGAGTCACACCCTGTGCCCCAGAGGATCATCCAAACCCTCCTGGAGCTCTGGCAGCCTTGGGGCTGTGCCCACTGCGCTGGGGAGCCTGGTCAGTGCCCAACCAGCCCCTGGGGGAAGAACCTTTCCCTGAGATCCAACCTGAGCCTGCCCTGACACAGCCCCAGCCATTCCCTGGGTGCTGTCCCTGGTCCCCCCAGAGCAGAGCTCAGTCCCTCCCCTCCTCTGCCCCTCCCCAGGAAGTTGTAACTGCAGTGAAGTCTCCTCTTCTCCAGCTGAACACACCAATTCAACCCAGGCTGACAGAGTTTTTCTATAGCAGGAAGGGAATGGAGGTTTTTCCCTGGTGTTTCTTCAGCTGAACCAGTCCCAGACAGCTGGGTACCATAATGGAAGCTTGTGAAACAGCAAAAGGACTCAAACAGCAAGAGATTAGTGAGGTAAACTTTTGCAATTAGATCAAAAGAATGTGTTTTCTCATGCTTTGGGAGAAAAAAGGATTGGATATAAGTTAGATACCCTGGAGCTATTAATGCAGATACAGAGCTTCAGCAGACTCATTTCCTAGTATTTGAGAGGGCATTTCTCTTGATTGCAGACAAATGCCATCAGAACCACTGCTTAAGCCAATGGCTTTCAAAGAAACATCTATTTTTGATTGCTGCAGAAACCCTTTGCCCATTTCTTCTCTAACTCACCTTCACTTTTCTTCCTGTTGCTACCCCCACAAAAATTTTGAATACAGAGAGGCACAGCTTTAAGAAACCAAGGCACCAGTATTTTTATCAGCTCCTTTCCAAGTGAAGGGAGAGCATGTGGGAGGCCCACATTGACAATGTTCAGTGAACGGTAAGTCAGGCAAGAGTGTGGCACAATTGCTTCACATCAGCTCTTGGGGCTGCCAAAAAAACACCCCAAACCCAGGTAAAGGCATGCAGGCAAAAATTTACATTTAGCATAGGATAGCAGAAGCTGACACTATGAACCAGTCTGGCTTCCACAGAGACAACAAAATTCAGATCAGTTTTTCTGGCACAAACCAGACTATCTATTTTCCAGAATGTCTGAGGAAAGGAGAGAGCAGACAGAGGTTTGCACCTGCTGTTATTTGGTGCTCAAACTGACAGAGAGTAGGTTTAGATTGTATATTGGGAAGAAACTCTTTGCTGAGGGTGGGGAGGCCCTGGCACAGGTTGCCCAGAGAAGCTGTGGCTGCCCCATCCCTGAAAGTGTCCAAGGCCAGGTTGGACATGGCTTGGAGCAACCTGGGCTAGTAGAAGGTGTCCCTGCCCATGGCAGGATGAGCTTTAAGGTCCCTTCCAACCCAAGCCATTCCGTGATTCTCTTTGTAACATCAAAAATCATAGCAGCAACCATGTGCCAATAAACTTAAAGTTTTATTTTTATGTTTAATGACATAAACAACTAAAGCTTTGGGAAACTGAAACACCACACTGCCTGAGCCCAGCAATTGTATCCCAAAGCAATAATACCTGCAGGGTATATATTTTACAGATCTTCTGCTTCACACAAACCCAGCAGTTTATTTAATGGTTGCACCTGCTAGATAGGCAGGGCCCTCTTGCTTTAACTCCTCAGTCTGTGGTCTCCCTGGTGTTTTCAAAGACATCTCCAAGACCATATGTCAATTCATACATAAACCTTAACTCCCACATAGTGTAAATGTTGTGCTAAAACCAAATCCACTCTGCAAAACAAGTTAATTTCCTCTGTGGAAAAAAAAAAAAAAGTCTTGAAAATTCACTAAACTTTGTTTCACAAAACAAAAAAAAACACCAAACAAGTCAAAACAAAAAACCCAAACAAACAAAAAACAAAGGAACCACCTAAAAACAAAATAAGAACCAGCTCCAAAGCTCCCCCCAGAAAAGACACACAGGCTTTGAAGTGGTACCTAGCAGAGAGCTCTTTCCTTAGGTGGAGTTGTTCTGTCCTGGTTCTCCTCAGGTTTCCTGCCATTCGAACAAAATCCTTGTCTAAGGTCTCCTTGCATTTTTCCAAGAGCTGAAGTTTCTGGATCCAAACATGTTTTTTTCCTCTTAGTTCTTGCTTGAGAACCTGTGGGATTTTGAGACCGAGTTGCCATGTGGTAGGAGGAGGAAGAGAGACAGAGTCAACCAGAGCCTCAATTTACATGATGAGAATTGATTTCCCTGCTCCACCACTCAGAATCCTCACCTACATCCAACACTATTCAGCAACAAAGAAAAAAATTCTACCACAAGTGGCCCAGATACAGCAACAAACCTACCATATTTCATAAGAGGAAGTTTTAATAATGACTATCTTGCAGGAAGCCCTAAAAGTGATAATTTAGACTTCTGTGATCTTTTCCTCAAAGTACAACTAAGTCCACTGCTACCAATTTGGGCTTGTTATTACAGCAAAATAAATAAGATACCCCAATAAATCCCTGTTTCAGTTTGTCGTACATGCCTAGCAGATGATCTGCCCAAGGGATGAGCCCTGTGACAAAGGCTTTCAGTTTTACCTCAGGTCTGTAGGAAGAAAAGGGGAAAAATTAAGTTCTAGGTAGCATTGCACCCTCTATTTCTCTGAACAGTGACTTGCAGCATAAAGTAGTGAGAGCGAGCACTGGATTCTTCTTCCTCTGACTTTGCTCAACTGAACACATGAAATAGTGTCCTCAGCTTTTATAGAATGCCCAATGAGAGTCAAACAGAGGTCAGGAAAGAATGAGGTTTATATTTCTGGGCTTTCACATCAATTCTAAGGGGAAAACATCAATCCTACAAGCACAGGCCACCTTATCTACTTGCAAGTTAGAGTCAGGTGTTGTTCGTGAGCTTCATACAAAAAAAACCCCACAGCATATCAAGTATGCTAGGAAAAAAAAACCAAACAACAAAACAAAACAAACCAGCCTGAGCAGTTTTTGCTGATAAGTTTTCTGGGATGACATGGGATGTGAACCATGTGCAAGTGCCCACATCCTGAAGATCAGTTTCTCAGCCAAGGCAGGCAGCACTTACTCTTAGAAATGACGTGGTTTTGACACACAAGGCTTATCAGGGCACATGATAAGTAGGAGAAGGGTGAAGAAGATTTTGCTGTCACTATCTATATATACACTTAAATACATGTATATATGCACAAAAGCAGAAGCACACTTAAAAATCTACTTTATGTATAATAACCTTTAAAATATACTTGAAAACACTAAACCCCAGCAAAACGTGTCCATACCATATTTCACAGGGAATGGTGGGGAAGTGTTTAGGCTTCAAGTGATGGTCCATGGTCCAAGATTTAATTCATTTGTCAACAAAAGCTTTCTCTAAGGCTGAAAGAAGCTACTGTGAACCTCTGTCTTTTTTGGACCTACCTTTGTTCGGCTCCATACACCAAATTTCCCACATATCTGGCTTATTCTAGCTGAAGGAAGACAATATGTTTGACATGGAGTCACTTCCCATTCCTATGGGATCCTGAAGGACTGGGCCTTTTAATTTTAAAGCATCTTGTTCCTCCTTAATCCTCTGCTATCTTATTTTCCAAATGCATTGCTCTCTAAGAGCCAGAATAGGATTTATTTGCCATGATCAACTCCAACCCCCACACCTAAAGTTTTTAGCTTCACATGTTTAACAGGAATAAGATCCCAATGTAATTTAAAAAAGCATTTTTCAGCTCTGACAGCTTCAAAGGAGAAAGTTTTTAGTCAAGATCGAAAAGCTACAGCAATTCACAAGCCAGCAGCTTCCTAGAGTCTACCTAAAGTCCCATCAGAGTGAAGAGACCTGGATACTTGTGCTTCCTCTAAGAGAAAATTTTCAGGATTTACTTAAAAAAGAAAAAAAAAGTTAAAAAAAGTTGGCTCCAGGACTGGATGGCTCCCAGCGATTCCTCCAGCCTACCCAGAAAGGTGAGGAGGGCCAGCTACAACACTCTGCAGCACTGTAGGGAAAGGAGGGTGGTTTTCTGCCTAAAGAACTAACTTCAAGCAGCACAGACCATGGTGCTACCTGCTGTTACCCAAGTGAGATGAATTGAGGGGTTTTGGAGCTGAAAGACAGCATTAATACACAGAGTTTTCTGTAGCAGTGTTCCTCACAACAGATTAGAATGAAGGAGAGGGTTGGAGAAAAAGCTATATCCAGTAAAATAAAAATTTCAGAAGCTGTGCTGTCACAGGGGAGGGGAGGAGGGAACAAGAGCAACAGAGTTTAGTCGAGTCCACAGGCACCTGCTACCACATGGGGAAGATATTTTTGCCAGTTAGCTTGAGCAAAAGTCTTTACTTGCAAGCCTCACAGGAGGTATGAGGGGTAGGAGAAACACATTATGCAAGATTAAGTTGTGAAACGTGGTTTTGTTGAAACTTTTCCTGAGGAGCATGCCCAGCAAAAGCAGAACTCTTCACCTTTCAAACAAAGTAAACCCTCTGAAGGTTTTGGTTTGGAAATCTGGTTATAAATGCTACATCCCTCCTCTTCTTGTGCCATCCAGAACCACAGTCAAGTTCAGAGCACAGGGGAAAATGGGTTTGAGGCACAGAGAAACATGCAGTGGGCAGAAAACATCTCACATGGTCATCTGACCTCATTTTCCTCTCCAAACTGACTGGCTTCACTTGCCCTTTCCCTCAAGCATGGTTTTAACAAAGGCAGCTCTTGCACAAGGCAAGTCAGGAAGAGCACGACATGTAAGTAAAGAGCAATCACCCCTTTCCTCCTCAAAACCAAAGGTAACAGATGCTCTTTCTCTCCATACAGCCACCTCCAACCAGGTCATGATCTCAAGTAATTAATATACAGAATATTCAGC